GTTGCATCTCATGATATAGCTTCAATTTTCAGTTAGTGTGCCTCTGATTTGTTTCTGCCAAGGGGTACACCACTCTAAAAAGTAGGTGTACGGGAATAAAAAAGTCAAGAAAAAAGTCAAGATAAAGTCAAAAAGTCATTAGAAAAGTCAAAAAAGCCAAAAAAGTCAAATGAACCCGGGAGAAAAAGAAAACTGATGTTGACTGAAGTTACCTGATTATTACTGATTTTAACTGATCTAGCTGTAAGTTAGCTGCCATAACTGACTTAACATGAACAAAAGCTGATCCTAGATAACTCTTTTTAGAATCGAAACTGAAGTTAGCTGACTAGAAAATTCAGTTTTAGTTAGCTCTAATCATCTTTCCGTCAGTTCAATTGATGGTTGCAATTTTGCTGACAACTAGCTGACATCGTCGGCTCCAGGTAACTTCAGCTCCACGTCATTTATGACTTATTGACGTGATACTGATCCCACCTGATTTGCACACGGATGCCAATCTCAACTAAATTCAGTCTTAAATCAGATGCATACAACATGAGCGCCAGCTGACAAATGCCTGTCGTTGACACTTCAGCAAAGTTCAGCAAATATTAGACTCTTATCAGTTTTTATAAAGTCGACCCATCGCTGAGTAAACATGGTAAAGAGCTGAACATAAATTTCAGCAAGAGATCAGTAAAATATTACTTTAAGTCAGTTAGTGTTGACCCGACAGATAACTGAATATAACTGAATCGAGCTGAATGTTGATGCTGATCTCTCATCAGCTTAATTTGAGATAATTGCGGATAATTGTTAGTTAAGTGTTCAAGTATATCATGTTAAAGTTGGGGTAGATCAGCTTGTTCAGTTGAGTGTCGGTAAAAATCAGTTAAAATCAGGTAAGTGCCAGTCCCGGCTCAGGTAAATTTCGCTTTTTCACAGTAAAAGTCCGACTTTCTTCAGCTGATTTTTTCTCCCGGGAAAAGTCAAAAAAGTCAGATAAAAAGTCGAAAAAGTCAAATAAAAAGTCGAAAAAAGGTCAAAAAAGTCAATTGAAGTCAACGACTAATCGACGAGAAGTCTGAGAAAAGGCGCTGAAAAACTCACCAAAAAGTTAAAATGATAGTACAATATCTGCCTGTAAGAGGCAAAATGGTAGGGCAACTCACCCCGGCCGTTTTCGTACCTACGACAACTCGCACTCTGTCATTTCGTCCTTAAGAAGTTTGGAAAAGTGATTATTTGTACCCAGACACGTCGCACCTAAAGACTCGATATTTTTGTCAATTACATGAATGTGTTGATGTAAAATTCAGTAAAATCCATGCAGCTTTTTGTACAGACGTTTCCTTCGCTT